CGACGAGGCAAACACGACGACGCAATTTCAGCTCCAGATTGAGATCCAAGGAACTTGATTAACATAAGAAGTTGAAGCTTTTTATAATATCTAATTAAATTTCTAACTCAGATTTTTTGCTGAAAGAATCGAGGTTTTTATCAAATTGGTATGGCTAATTGGCAGCATTTTTGCATCATAGCGCTCGGGCAAGGAAGCAAAAAACTTTTAAAATCTTATGTTTTGCCATATGTGTTGAATATTACCACAAACTGACACTAACATAGTTTCTAATCCAGCCCCCACCCCCTCGACAATCTGACGTCCGTATTGGCAAGAAGATCGCTTGCTTAATTAGGCTGGTTAATGTTGACTGGGATCGCTTATTAATCGTGTGTTGAGTTTGTGCTGAGACAAATTGGTCAGGTGGGAGGGCTTTCTGGTGTGCCAATAAGCCAAAAATACCGCGGTATTTAAGTAGAAAATAGAACCAGTTATAAGAAGCGACTCTGCTTGATTTCATACTAACTACCTGTTTTATAATAACTATAGCCTACTACAGGCTTTCTTATGTGTGTTTTTTTATATGCCGGCAGGATAGCACATCACTTTAATTATATTCCTTTCTTTCCAGTCTCGTGGCTGTTTTGGATCGGGTCGAGGACGCATAAATACTACAAATTCTACACTTCAATTGGACACAAAGAAGATGATTCAGAAGAAAACGTAAGTCGTTCATGGAGTTTTCAAATACCTAATACATAACCATTCCTCATCTGAAAAATTTGGCATTAAAAAGTAAAAAAATCATGGGTTGGATAACTCATATTTAGCGAGACTTACAGTAGATAGTTTAATATCGATCAGCCATGCACTTATGTATAATATATCAATTTGTTTTTTTAGTTATGTTATTCTGCTTGTGGTATCTACAAGTCATCCAGAGTTTGGTATCCGTCAAGCTATGACCACAATCTTCTTTCGTGTGGAGTCTGGAATCCCACCACAGCTGCAAACCAGGTACGATATACATATACTTAGAATATGTTCAACTGAATAAATGCCGCGTTCAAACAAACTCGTGCATCAATGATGCCCCGATACCATCCAACAGTGTTGAATTTGTGGGGTAAAATCGCCAGATTTATCGTAATTGAAAAGGTGTGCTTTAAAATATTTGTGAAAGTAACTATACCGTATAAAATCAGTGATGTAACTTATTAAACTTAACTACACCTTTACCACTTGCCATCATGCAGGACAAATGAAACGTGAATAAACTGGTTGCCGGAATAAAATCCACGTCACATTGGTTGCCAGAATAAAATCCACTTCGCCTGCACATATTAACAACATTTGAAGCAAATAAGGATTCACTAATCACCATTCGAGTATCATGTTTTCCTTTAACCAATTCAATTGAAGATTTGGAGTGTTGATTTCAGCTGCTTTTGTTAATAAAGAATAAAAAACAGAATAAAAAACAAAATTTGAATATTGTTGGTTCGAGTCAATATGTTTGATCCGTTTGAACAAACCTTTTTTAAAACCTTAAAAGGTTTTAAGAAACCTCTTTCTGTCTGTCTTTCATTGTATACTTGCTTTTTCCCGTTGTTACAGCTGCTCCAAAAACTGTAAAGATAAAATAATTTCTGATGAGAAAACTATACTACAGTCGGAGTGCTCGGCATTCTGCTCTGGAGAGTTGACGTTCAGTTGGTCTTTATATTGTTACGACGACATCAACACCCCTGAACCTTTGAACTTGTCGTCACTGCACGAAGTTCCTCAAAGTGAATTTCAGGATATGGTCTATAACCCCATCAATGAACTGGATCTTGCTATAAAACCTTACTCGTTACAACCTGGCAAGAAATATACACTAGCATTCCGAGCTACGCGTCCGACTGGTACCCTTGGGGAACTGAGAACTACTCTACTCGTGAATTCGCCGCCAGCTGGTGGTAAGTAGGGCCTGCCCAGGGACGTCCCTCTGGTGTGTGTGTAGGGGGCGGGGGGGGGACACCTTGTAAACCTGAAATGTTCACCTTGTAAAAAAACACACCTCACAAGCATTCAGTTTTCAATCAAGAATTTGGTGGAGTCAAACCTTTGAAAAGTTGCCCAAAATATCAGGACACCCCTCTCCCTACCCCAATGTTAATGACTTCGCGGCGTCCCTGGGCCTCCTTCGACAGTCCAGTTTTGCATGTGTCAAAAATAATTCTAATTAGATCTAAGGAATCTATAATATTTGCACTCGAGGTTTTCATCCACATAAATCCTTCATCATATTTGGTATACCGAGCGAGATGCAAGGACGTCGCGAAGTCATCAACATGGGGCGTCCTGATAATATTTTCCATTTTTACCAATGTTTCCAGCTTAAAAATTATTGGGGACGTCACTGGCGGGACACCCAAAAATCCTTATATTTCCCTAATACTTAAACAATTTAACTTCAGGCACGTGTGCTGTGTCGCCATCATCTGGCATTGCTCTGTCAACCAACTTCACCTTCACTTGTGACGGATGGACGGATCCCGAGTCGCCTTTGACCTACGAGTTCTCGTACGGAAATAATCAAACGGAGACATTGTTCCACTTTCGTACAATCGCTTCTGGTACGAAATTCAGTCTCGTTGATTGGTTACCAGCTGGAGAGGAAAGTAGCAATTATACTCTAACTGTTACGGCAAAAGTGAAAGATTCATACGGATCCAGTTCAATTGAACAGTTTATGATACAAGTAAGTGGACACTTTGGATAATCTAGACTGCAGGAGAGCAGCCTCACATCAAATCAGTGTCGGTAAATTCCCGACAGCGCCACGACAGCACCGCTACCAGGAAATGTTTAACAAAATATCTTCGCAGGAATTTTTCTACACCTTGCAGGAAATTTTAGTTATTTCATACACTGGAATACCATATGATTTATTTTTGAACTATAGCAGTTTATGGATCGGAAGATAGTTGCAAAAAAGTAGTATACAACGACGTATTGACCATGTTAGTTTATTACCGTGGCGATAAACTGCGCCTGTTTTCCGCATACCACGCTGTCCTCACTGTTCTCTGAAATCGAGATATGCAAGAACTTTCATAATATTTGACTTACACAGGAGAACTTTTAATTTCTCAAGGTCCGTCCACTGCCACAAGAAGAACTAAATGCGACTAAACTGAACGATTTATTTGCTGAACATTTGGCAAATGGTGACACTTTGGCAGCCCTGAGCCTGGCTTCTTTGTTGAGCTCGACAATGAATACTCTGGGGTTTGGCAGTACAACAAGTCCAGAACAGGTACAGTTAAACAATGTTGTACCTGACCTTGATATACCTGAATGGCTAATGTTATGCCCGTTACCAACCAATGAGCTCCATGTATACTGGAGTGATCATCCAATCACATTGCCTGACCGTTCATCTTACGAATAGCTACTTTAGGCTATGTGCCCATTTCATAACGATACGTACTGTATAATTCTCGACAGGTACGGGAGGAAATGCTCACGTCGCTATCTGGATTAAAACCACAAGATATGTCTGCAAGCATGCAAGTCAGCGGTTCACTTAGTCATTTGGTGGGAGGACCAGACCAGATGACTCCAAAAGCACAGGTAAAAACATGCAACGAGTTTCACAGCGCTAGTGGTGTCAAATTTTTATCATATGTAGGATTTTCAAATATTATCTTACATATTTCTTGCTTTCCAATTAATCTCCCCCATCTTTTTGCCCAACCTACGTTTAAAATTTGCCCGATTTCAATTTTCTGAGGGGATTGCCCCCTCCACCACCGCCTCGTACCTTATGTATCTATTTGTTGCTTTCTTCTCTGTAGGAAGGGCTACATTAAAAATGCTTATTAGCATTAACTAATGTCGGACCATTGTGGCCTCCTTTACCAAAAGGGCCACTTAATTTCCAAACACTTGCTAACGAGCTTCGACTATTTGAGACATATTAAGAACTCCTACCACCCTTTGTGTTGGACTCTACGGAACGTTGTTTCCCCAGAACTTTGCTTCATGTTCAATCATGATGCAGCCTCATTTAGTTATAAGTAGTATAGTTTTTGCATTACAGTATGGAAAGGGCCATTTACACGACACGACCAGTCGTGATAGTGGTGATACAATTGTCATTCTGGCGTACTGATGGAAACGACTATTCCTGTTCATTGGTTTATATGGCGAAATTTGAAATGTGACATCTTCACACGCATTTATTCTAGTACATACGCCAGGATAAGAATTGCATACGACTGGTCGTATTGTGTAGACGGGCCTCAAGCGGAACAATTTGACTGTCGATTATCAAGGGATCATGTATAAATTCTATTTTCAGGACGCAGCCCTCACGGTAACTGAATCTATCGTAGAAAAGATGAAAAGTTTAGTGGAGGACGACGAAGGATTTAAGAACGTCAAGTCTACGGCCACCAACATTCTTGGAAGTCTGGGCAGCATGAATAGCGGCAGTTCAAAAGATTCTGGATCATTGCCACAGAATAAAACCGTCACTGCAGTATGTACATTTCTTTACCCTACGCACGGTGGGACTTCTGAACTGTATATAACCGACACCACGGGGCTTCGGTGGCGCGATCGTCAGGGCAAGCGCCTTTCACCTCTGAGTTCGTGGGTTTGATTCTCGCTGCGGACTCATGTGAAAAGAGTCCGTCAACGCTTTACCGAAAGTTGTGGGTTTTCTCCGGGTACTTCGGTTTCCTTCCACAGGGAAAGTTGACAGGGTGGGTTGGGATTAGCCCCCTAACTGACCCTTCCACCGTAGCTGTGCTCGTGATCAGACATGAGTCATAAGGTGGCTAGTGCCAGTGGCGCTCTTAGAAAGCCTTCGACCCTATCAGGTTGAGCTGCGTCCTTCGCAATAGACCTTATGCATAATGACGTCACAAGGCTTGATGCCGGCGAAGAATGCTGATCTTAGTAGTCATCGCCCGGGGAAATTACGATAGTGGCCATTTTGAATTGTTTAATTTTCCCGGGCGATGACTACTAAGACCAGCATTCCTCGCAGGCATCATGCCTTGTGACGTCATTATGCATAAGGTCTATTCAACTTGGCTCTCAGCTGCAAGTAAAGCCTGGTCAAACGAGAATGAGAGTTGATGAGAGTTGAGAAGTGAGAGTTTGCATGAGGGTTTTCTCAACTCTCATGCCCCGGTCAAACGAGAACAAGAGTTGCATGAGAGTTGATGAGAGTTGAGAAGCGAGAGTTTCCATGAAGGTTTTCTCAACTTTCATGCCCCGGTCAAACGAGAACAAGAGTTGCATGAGAGTTGATGAGAGTTGAGAAGCGAGAGTTTGCATCAGAAATTTTCTCAACTCTCATGCCCCGGTCAAACGAGAACAAGAACTGCACGAGAGTCGATGAGTGTTGATTGGCTATTACATCTCGCGTAGCGAAAATTCTTATTAACTCTCATGAAAATTTGAACCCGTTCAAAATCAATCAGTGTTGACGAGAGTCGACGAGAGTTACTGGTGATCAACTCTCATCCTCGTTTGATTGTGACTTAAGGATGCTTAAACGCACCCCTGTTTACTTTCTTACTCCTCTCATTTACGTCTTGTTACATTGAAAAACTTCATTACATAGGTCAATGCTCAACGTACTATTGATGTGGTGGGACAACTTCAAGGAATCTTACTGGATTATTTGGTTACCAACGAAGGACCAAACATCGTTAAGACCGAAACGCTCTCGATCAGTGCCGAGAAAATCTCTGCCAATGCCTTCGGAGAGAAAGAAAGTACATTAAAGAAAGGTCGCTTTAAACCTCCGTCTGCTGCTGCTTTTGGACTCGGGGATGGTAAGTAGTAAAACAGGCAGGGTTCCCAATAGAAGCCGACACCCGGCAAATTTCGCCGCCTATAACGTAGACAATCGCCGGTGGTTACTCGAAATCATTCCCACTTGCCACAGAAATTGAAAGGTTTCATGCTTTCCATGCATTCAAAACAACTCTCCAAAATTGCGGGAAACGTCATTTCAAAGGTCTTCAAAAGGTCTAAGTTTCAAAATCTTTACGGGAAAAAGACCTTGGACCCCCTCCCCCTAGACGGGCGTTACCTTCGGCACCATAGAGGCGCCTACTTCTTTCAAAAAGCCTCTTATTCCAAATTATATTGGGATACTTACCATAATTTGTCCAAAAAATTATAAAAAGTCGCTGTTATGTAGACTTATCTCGCAGACCTCGGCTGAAATGCCACCCAAAAATGGCGGCGTGAGAAAGGCCAATTCAGTGTAATGTATTGTGATGTAATGTAAGGTGATTACCTAACCATGTTATTTCTAATTCAATATTTTTGTTTTATTTTTAATGAAGTTCTTTCAAATCCCAACAATTCATTTCTTCAAATGCAACCTATTGATGTCAAGGTAGGACGAACTATTTTAACCACATTAAGAGATCATATCAAGCAATCGATTACCATTGATACTTTATTTAACTAAATAATCAATTAATTACATTTTTTAGGTGGCATTGTTTGACAAGAATCCATTCAGTTGGGACAACACCAGTCAAAGTGTCACATCAAACGTAATGGACATTGTAGTTGAATCACAATCACTGAATGTGTCGTCTTCGAACCTCACTGAAGATATTGCCGTTACAATACCTCGCGATCCAACACAGTTTGTAGATGGTAACAACTCTTTCTACTTGAAGCCACATGAAATGAATTCAACAAGCAGAACAAAGGATTATATGAAATTTCATTGCTTCACGCGACGAAGTAACTACACCGCTATGAATTTCGAAATCAAACCAGAAGACCTTGGAATACATATAAATGTAAGTGACCTGAGCTCGATAACCTTGTAGCAAATTGTCAATAAGCAGTTGACAACTTGTCAACAAGCTGGGAAATCCTGTTGACAAGTTGTTGGAACAGTATTGCTACAAGTCTGCTGCAGGTTTGTTACAACTTGTGCGTTTTTATGTATCTATCAGCATGATATAATCCTAATGTCCAGTTTCCATGCAGAAAACACAAGGAAAGCGTATAATATATTCTATAATAAGTGCACCCTTTGTCGTTTATTTCTATCAGGTATTCCTGAAGAAAGGTGGTAAGCCCGACGCAAAGACAGGAGATTATGAATTCGCTTACAAACTTCCAGACGTCAGTACTTGTAAAGTCGGTAACGACAGCGTCCATACCTCACAATCGCAGTCAGGTTTTGACGAAACTGTCCATATTGACCCAAGCAAGTGTGCAAAAGATCCATATACAGTGTTTGTGTCAAATGTTGATTTTAATGGCACTGGGGAGTACTGCTTTGGTAAGTTCTAACGAATATTTCATAGGTGAAGATATTTTAGAGAAAAGATATTCAAAGCTCTTAAGGTTGGTTCACCCTATCAAAGTTTCTGTGATCACACGATAGGATTGTACGAAACGTTTGAGCGAACTGATTCTGTCTTTAACACGGAGTCATTTCCCTCAAGAACGTCTTACAAATCATTCAAAACTTAGAATTTACCCATTGCAAAATTTCTACTGTGATCACAGAAACTTTGATAGTGTAAACCAGCCTTTAAACGGGATGCGGTTAGCTATTGTACTTCCCTTTACCTCGATCTGACTCTAAGTTATGCCTGCTACTGCAAGTCTAGGGTAGAGACTTTACTTTATTGCGCTGACTTGAAATTTAGTCCAGTTCTCATAGTCGGATTTGAATTATTTTGAGTTTTGTTGGTTTTCTATTGTGCTTCGAGGTTTTTCTCCAGGTACACCGTGTTTTTACTAACCGTTGGGAATTTAAGGACGTTTTCCACTTCGCCCGTATCGTACCGTAACGTACCGGTGAGCATGCGCAGCTTGAAAATGGGTTTTCAAATTTACGTATTTCCGGTTGATTCGCGTATCAAAATAAAAAGTTCGTCGCAAGTCAACTTTTTAACGTGCTATGGAAGTATTCATCAATCAACATTCACTAAATTTTGAAATTTAAAATTTGTTTTGGGACGTGTCGGTATGTTACGCTTGTTGTGGAAAACAGCCTTAATAATAACCGTTGGGGATTAACGGTCAGAGCAACTGAATGCATAATTAGTCAATTCGGCATTGTATATTTCATACATGATACATGAGTTAAATCGCTGGCGGAGGTATGCAGATGACCTCTAGTTATGTAACCACCCAACGCAGGTAAGATACCTATATAGTTTTGTTTCCATTTCAGGCGTACAACATACCGAACTGTTCCACAATGAGACCTACCCGGATCCCGAGTCGACCTTCAGCTCTCGAAACCGACGTTCAGTCTCGTGTGAAGTGGGTGCAAGACGCGTTCGTCGTTCTTGTGTCATCATTCCACCCGCTCCACCCAAACCTACCGACTCCCCCGGTAAGATGAATATCTTGGTTGCAGACAATCTTGGTTTTGATGGCAAGTTCTTTTACCCCAACCAAACTCCGAACTACAACCTGACGATGTTTGAATCCAGTTGTATCTTCTGGGATGTTGTCAATGAAACGTGGAAAGGAGAAGGCTGCAGGGTGAGTATGAAACGCTGAAAAAGATTTTTAGTCTGCGACGGAGAGTATGAATTGGTATAACAATGCTGCCATCGCGCTGCCAGGAAATTTTAACAAAATATCTTCGCAGCAAATTTTTTTACATCCTGCAGAAAATTTTTGTCATCTTGTATACTGGAAGTCCATATAATTTACTTATTGTTTACAAAAGTGTTTTGCATATCGAGATTGTCTTGTGCCGAGATTAAAGTGTATCACACTGTGCTGCACTATACGTTCTCTGAAATCTACATATGGAGGACGGTTTTATATTTGACTTACACAGGAAATTTTAGTTTTGGATTTTCTTGCCAGGAAGAGAAATATATTTTCTAGGCCTGATTCAATTCCGGCAAAATGCAGTTTTCGTACAGTATTTCTCCAGTTTGCCTCTACTAAATACCAAGGATTGACCATTACTAGACCTCTGCAAAGAGCAACAAAGAACTGATAGAGTTATCCAGTACAAATTTCTAAATTGTGATTCTTTCTTAAAAGGTTGCTCTGGGCACCAACAGAGAAAAAATCCTCTGTCTTTGCAACCATTTGACGTCGTTTGGAAGTGATCTTCTGGTTGCTCCAAACCCAATTGACTTCGACTCAGTTTTCAGCAATTTTGGTAGTCTTGCTGAGAATGTTGCTGTACTGGCGTTGATATCAACCATTCTTGGTGTGTACATTATTGGAGTTATCTGGGCAAGGCGAGCGGATAAGAGAGACTTATTGATGGTAAGTATGTTGGTCTCGCTTTGCCTTGCTTGTATTGTCTGAGCAAGTACCTTGACTTGCTTTATTTTATTATGCCTTACTATCCCTTACCATACCTTGCGAAACCATGCCATACCATAAAGTACCATACCTTTTACCATACTTATTACACCTCACCATACCATACTTTAAACTACCATATTATACCATACCTTACCATACCATACCATACCTACCATACCAAACATATCATGTCATCTCATACCTTACTATACTACACATACCACGCCAAACATACCATACCATACCATGCCATGCCATACCATACCATACCATACCATACCACACCATACCATACCTACCATACCATACCAAACATATCATGTCATCTCATACCTTACTATACTACACATACCACGCCAAACATACCATACCATGCCATACCATACCATACCATACCATACCATACCATACCATGCCATACCATACCATACCATACCATACCATACCATACCATACCATACAACGTATCAGACTATACCGCGTCATACCTTATCATGTCATACCACACCTTAATCATGTCATACCACACCATACCACACCATTCCATATCATACCCTACACCATATTGTATCGCACGATACCATTTCGACCATACCTTACCCACACCCTTACATTACTCTTGCTAATTGTCTAGTTCATTAAATTCTTACAGATTGGTCCAACGGTCATTCAAAAAGGGAAAGGAAACTATTGCTACCTCATTACAACCGCCACTGGCAGCCGACAAAGCGCAGGAACCACGGCCAGGGTTGTGTTTACTATGTCTGGCGATCAGGGTGAGACACTACCAGTGTGGTTGCACGATCGAGAAAGACCGTGTTTTGAGAGAGGCCAAACTAATTCCTTTGTCATTGCATATCCTCACGGAGTTGGCGATTTGAGCTATGTCCAAATATGGCATGATAATTCAGGTACAGTAGAGCCCGAATTATTTTCGGATCGGCCGGAATGGATGAATCATAAAACAACTCCACTCTTATCACCAGCTGGATGTATTTCTTACGCCAAGTTTTTCGTCGCTTGGCGTAAGAATGATACAATGTCTGCGAGCAGGCTAATTTGACACCTGTCTCATTTAAACGGTACTTAAAAACTTGCGCTCTTATTTTACAGGTTCATCGCCGTCTTGGTATCTCAGCCGATTTACTGTGAAAGATCTTCAGACTGGTACAACATGGAAACTAGTTTGTGAGAACTGGTTGGCTGTGGAATCCGAAGATGGAAAAGTATGTCGACTTCTACCTGTGGCCAACGAACAGGAATTGACAAACTTTAATCACGTTTTTTCGAAAAAAGCCCTAACAGGTCTTGCAGATGGCCATATATGGTTCTCTATTGTCTCCAGACCTCCAACCAGTAACTTCACGCGCGTCCAACGTCTCTCGTGCGCTCTTTGTCTGCTATGTTGTACAATGATCACCAGCGCGATGTTTTATAACATGGGAGGCCAGGGTCCGAGTCCTTTCGCAGTTCACATTGGGTCGCTGGTTATTGATTTAAAACCGTTTGTGATTGGCTTACAGAGCAGTGTTATTATTGTCCCGGTAAATGTATTGATTGTGCAAATTTTCCGCAATCTCCGACCAAAGAAAGAAAAGCCGCAGAGAACTTCTGTTTACGAGGTAGAAAAAGACGAGCATGGCAGAGAAAAGGATGAAGATTTGGCGAGAAAAGAGGAAGACATCGTCCATGGTGTTCAAATTGAAAACCAGAATCCACCCAAAGGCAAACTTCCGTACTGTTTTATCTATCCAGCCTACGCGATCTGTTACCTCGCCTCAGCTGCGTCGATATTTTTCACTTTACTCTACAGTATTCAGTGGGGGAAGGAAACCTCTACTGAATGGGTGATTGCCATGGTAACGTCATTCTTCCAATCAGTATTGCTCCTGCAGCCAATCAAAGTTGTTCTTGCGGCTGTCGTGTTTGCGCTGTGTGTCAAGTCCGCCAGCGACAGCGAGGAGGAGCGATATGACGAGGGACTGGTGATTAGAAAGCCTGATCAAGGGAAACAGGTTGCTGCGAATAACTTGGCTGAGCTGGAGAGAAAGATGGAAGCCATTGGTAAACCACTCGGAAAACTAAAACGATATTACAGGTAATTCATGCTTGGAGATATTGTATACTGTTTTTGGATCAGTCTGTTAGAAAGGTATGCATCAGCTTTATAGCTTTCAGGACGATATATCATAAATTATCCCCCTTGTTCACTTCGCTTACTCGTGACATTTGTGATATCGTCCCTCAAGCGATGAGCCTATACTTAAATGATACTGTATTTCTCTCAAATATTTGATCTTCATTTATTTTTTCCAGTCCGCCAGATCCCGCCAGATTACGAAAAGCAAGAGAAAAACGTCTGAAAGAGCTTAAGATGAACGCAGCTTTGAAAGAGATTTTCGCTTTCTTTGTCTTCCTTATTTTACTCATGGATGTGGCCCAATATCACAGGCACCCAGACACATTTTTACTTACAAAGACTTTGTATGAGACTTTCGAAGAAGTAGACGGCTATGGAATTGACTTAGCTGCTGTAAGTGAATTAGTCGCCAACACAGGAAAGACTGTAAATACTAGCTGCCATACAGTAATTTTTCCAAAGGGCGCGTCATCAGAATTGGTCGCTTTTGTTTAATCAGCAAACCATTAACACAACATTTTCATTTTACTTTTGTTAATTTGCCCAAGCAAAGGATGCAGCGAATTTGGTTGTCTTCTGAATCCATATTCAGATAACAGTACTGTACCTTCACGTTTGAGATATCTTTTTCAGATAGCTCAGACACAAACCGCGGCAGCTTATTGTAGACAGCCTACAATGGGCCACCACGTTTGAACTATCTTTTCAGGTAGTTCACACACAAAGGTAGCCTACGTTGTAGACCCCAGCAGAAACAACGTAGGTTAAGTTATGTAACTCAGCAATGCTTGCTTAATTTTCCCTAGTCTATAAAATATTTATTGTTCTTTACAGATCTCAGACGGAGATTCTTTATGGATGTGGTCACGTGAAACACTCGTCCCAGGCCTCTACGCAAACGAGTGGTACAATGGCAAGAAGATAGAGAAAGGTTGGCTCGCGAATACCGAGGACTATCTTGTGGGTGTCCCGCGTGTTAGATTAGTTCGCGTGGAGGAAGGTAAATATAAAACCAGAGCCACGGGCGAACTAGCTGGAAACCAATGTTACTAGCTATTGTTCACAAAAGGTAGTTTTGAGGAGAGCTGATTTGCAAACTGAGCAATTCACGACATGTCCAGCAAATTCAACGCTGAAAAAAGTTCATCAAGATTTTCCAAGTGATGCGTGTTGTGTCCAATTTGTTTTTTGCAACGCTGTCTTTGTAACATTGATACCAATCGTAGCGTTTGGGTTCAATTCGTAATTCAAGATGGCGTTTAGCAAACAAAAACTTGCTATTCTAACCTTATTTACGGGTATAGCTAGCTCACTCTTTCAAATGACGTCTGCCAAATTTTTGTTTTTGGTAAATATATACAGGAAAAGACGACTGCATAGAAGGGTGGGAGCAAAAGCTGTTTACCCTTGTGCCGTAACGTTTCGCGAACGAACCAAAAACCGATCCGATACAATGAAATATAGCTTCAGTCACAAGTTAATGTTTTCCAAGCGCTAATGGCTTATCCGCTTCAATTTTAGATTCGTGTCCAGTCTCCAGCTACTTCAAGGACATCATTCCACATTGCTACAGTGGTTACTCTGTGACCAGCGAAGATGATGACAACTATGGGGTAGGCTGGGAACCATTGACCAGTGAGACCTCTCGAAAACGTCGCGACGTCGCAGGGCCAGAGACCGAGACTGAGTGGACGAAACTTTTGGCCAGCGGTAGCGAGATGGAACATAGCCGTGTGGAGATTAGACACAAAAGGGGTTTGGATCCGATTATGGGTGGAGCTAGCGGGAAGAATCGTCGAAAAAAGAAGCGGTTACTGGCTAGTTCTAAACCTAAGGAATATCGAGTGAACGACAATGCATTGTTACCGGATGGTAGAGTCCTGTCTTGTCTTGAGAGATGGGATCATCAAAGCATGATAGACCTACGTGGATTCCCCTACTGGGGTACAATCACCATGTACAGTGGCAGTGGTTACGTAGCAAACCTTGGCTACGACCAAGTGACAGCTTACACTGTTGTCGCGGACTTGCATTCGAATGGTTGGCTTGACGTTCAAACACGTGCTGTGTTTGTGGAATTCACCGTGTACAATGCGAATACGAACCTATTTGGTATTCTTTCATATTTCGTAGAATTTTCCCCGTCATCAATGGTTGTCACCACTTCCCAATATCAAGTCGCAAGGTTCTACCTCCATCTTACAGGCGGGCAAACACTGGCTCATGTCTTGGTCATATTCTTCATGATGTATTTCCTGTATAGAGAGGGAAAACTTGTCTATAAACAACGCTGCGCTTACTTCAAAGGTTTCTGGAATTGGATTGAAGTTATCCTCGTTGTCTGCGAGTTTCTGCTGATCGTTCTCTTCCTTGCGCGTCTGTTCGAAGTTGATAGAAATCTTCTTCAGTTACGAGAAAATCCAAACGATTACGTTGGTTTTCAGTACGCTGGAAATGCGGATGCGCTGATGACCTACATTCTTGGCGTCTTAGTGTTCTTCTATATTTTACGTTTCTTACGCCTGTTGAGATTCAACAAAAACTTCCTGGTTATTGGCAAAACATTCCAGAGGATAACTGCACCAATTCTGAGCTTCTGTCTACCTTTCATCGCCGGATTTTTTGCATTTGCCCTGCTTGCATTCGCTGTATTTGGCTCAGAACTTGAAGACTACAGCTCATTTATAAGGACGATGGTGACTCAATTCAGTATGACTTTAGGAGACTTTGATTTCGAGGCCATATTTATGGTCAACCCGACCGTTGCAACCCTCTATTTCTTTTCGTTCATTGGATTAAACGTGATGGTCTTGATGAACATGTTCATAGCCATCATCAACGATTCGTTTGCCGAAGTACAAGAGGAAACCGCCAATATTCAGAACGAACTAGAGATCGTTGATTATGTTGCAGCGAGGATTACGCGCGGTTTTAAGGAAACATTTCATCGCGGTAAAGTCGTTCCTGTGAAAAAAAAGCGATCAAAGAAACACAAGCGAAAGTCAAGGAAGCAATTACCTCCCTACGAACAGATGTACACGGAGCTGGATTTACGCGTGGAGAAATTGGAGCTTTTTGTGGACATTATCGACAGAAGTATGGAAGTAGATGAGATGGAGGAGAAAAGATTTTGTTCAGTGCCAGAAGACAAGCAACAAGATTTATATTTCCGTCTTTTGTGTTCAATGGAAAGCGCTCTTGACGATAGTGAAGACGAACTTAGTGATTCTGAAACTGAAAGTGAAGAGGAAATGACAAATGGTCAATAGAGCTGCCGGAAGCACACGAGTTTTCGCACGACTCGCGAGAAAATAGCCTCGCTTGTTTTCGGGTTTTGTAAACCTGAAATGTAAACCTAAGTCAGACCGAAATGTTTCGTTTTGGTCCTCATACCACTACCCGCTACCTCTCACTGTCTTAAGCCCATTCTCCACTAAGCGAATTTATTCGCGCGAAGCGAAAAACAAATCTTGGCAATCGGTGAAGTTGGAACAGTTCCTACTATTTTATTGTTCGCGCGCACAAATTCGCCTAGTGGAAAATGGGCTTTAGTCCGCATCTGATTGGTTAATCGGTGGATTAATTAAACGCATCTGATTGGTTAATCGGTGGATTAAACGCATCTGATTGGTTAATCGATAGATTAAACGCATCTGATTGGTTAATCGGTAGCAATCGGTGATAGTTTTTCAGGTAGTTGTATCTCTCTTACACCGCAGCTGTCTCTAATGCTAGTTGTAGCGGTAGTGGAAGTAAAATCTGAATCTCTCATATCTTACATGAGTCAAAATACAAGAACCTTCCCGATTCCACGTTTTTAGTCTGTTGACATTTTCTGTAATTTGTTCTGTATTACTGTAACGGTTATGAATTTATAGACAAATACCGCGATAAAATTGAAATTTCACATCTTTTATGCGTTAACATGCAGTGAATCTAACAAAGAAGCATCCTTCGCTACAAATTATCTTATAAAAGCAAATAAAACTAAATGTTGTTGCCGTATTTTGCTAAAAATTGGGTAACCGCTACAGAAAAACAGAGCAATTTACAGAAAATTACAATAGAGAAGAGAAGCGAAAGTAGGAAGGTTCTTGTATTTTCTCTGTAAGTCGCCCAGTTATACTCAAGACCCGACCGATTGAATATTTAATCATACCGATCTGATTGCGTCTGAATTACTCAATATTTAGTTTTCTCCTTCTTGCGCCGCACCGACCTCTTGTATTTCATATGATGAAAAGAATCACAGTAACATTATTTTTTACTCTGACAACATTGAACCAGTTGAGTACTATCTGGTTTGAACGATTAAAATAAAAGTGAAACTCAAGATCAATATAACTTGCAAGGTTCATAAAAAAGCATTTGAAAACTTGTAAATCTTGTAAGAAATAAAAGTGATTGGAATATATATATATTTGTTAGTTTTTCCCATAGGCTATTAGGCATAGGAGCGGCCACCTCCCCCCCCCCCCAATATTTCTTGGTCAGGCAGTTTATATTTACTGTAAAGGTTGGGGAGATTGTGCCTAAAAGTCGGTTAAATGATTAATGTAAGAGCTGGGAGCATTAAAATGGTGAAAATAGGAAAAAATATGCTATGTTTTCAAAATGTCTGCGGACATGAAAAACGGAATTTTTAATTGTCTCAATTTAAAATAACTCTAGCTAATAAACTATAGAGTAACTTCTTTATTAATAAGTTCTTTTGCAATTTTTTGTTCCGTTACTTCTTTTATTAACCATGAGTTTGAGGTAACAATTAGTAATTGTAGTAAAATATACCAAAATATGCAAAGTTTCTGTACATCATATATTTTGGGGAGGCTCCAATGCTCCATCCAGCAGTAATTTGTGACTCCAGTGGATCTGCATGATCGGCTCGTCGTCGTTTTCACTTCGTGTCAACTTCGTTACAAGTTCGGAAATGAGGGAAATATGAAATTTTTGGGATTTGGGAAATTTATATATTCAAATGAGAAAGTGTTTTTATCTATGACTATTTTGAAGGCAAATTTTTTCCAATTTGATGCTGTTTTTTTTTTTAATTATTACAGTTCAACCTCAAGGTATGTAAATGAGTATTTAATATTCAGTTCGAAAGTTGAAAAATATAGCGGATTTTATTAATAACGTATTTATATACAATTATAATACACACCGTATGAGTCTATGAGATGACACATTTGTATGAACAAGTTGCAAATTTACTCGCTTGACAACACAGAATAATCAGTTTTACAGTAGTCTGGTCAACACATTGCTCATTGCTTAATTTTGGTAATCTCACTCGCCATAACTAATTGTTGAAGGGATTAATGTAGGTGGAAATTTATTTATAGACCTGACCATTTTTCGCAACTGCTCCTGGTTTAAATAGGTCTATAAATAACAATCCTTAATCCCACTCGAAATTTCCACTACAAATCCCTTCAACCATTATATATATATATATATATCGAGTGAAATGCCACCGTGGCCAGGCATATTTTTCAAGCCTGCTCGGTGTGGATATGCACTCAGAGTAACATCACAAGCATCTTATTCACCTGAGTACATTGCACCAACACAGAAAATTTCATAAACCATAAAATGGCATCACCTTAGTATTTACAGGTATGTATGAACTTACAAGTGGTTAGAGCTTGACAACTGTCTCTCTGTACTGTAGCTCAGCTGGTTAGCGCGCTGCACCGGAATCGCAGGTTCGATTACTGCCAGAGGGCTGATACTGTTGTTGCATTTTTCGCAACTGCTCCTGGTTAGATCTAATGAATGATTAATAATTTCACTCGGGATTTCCAAATACAAATCCCTTCAACAATACACATTGCTTACTACCATTTGCAATCAAGCATTGAGCATGCAAATTTTTCCACAATATTTACGATTCAAAACGTTATGTTTTCCAATCTCATTCCCTGGCCGTATTGGCCTAAATATATTGTAGGTGATAGGTGTTGAGTCCTCCATCCACAAAATGTCTGTACAACAGAAACCACCAATATACAGTACATAGTACCATAAACATTGTTTTCCATTAGCACCAAATATGCTGACTATTGACCATCTTCAATCCAGTCAAAAAAGTTAGGGGGCCAAATGGAAAATTGTGCTTTTGTTGGAAATTCAGAAAGTTAGCCCCAAACAGAAACACGGTGAATTTTCTTTTATAGAATAGTATAGAAGCTTTATTTATACAGGAGTCGCAATAAGTAAAATACTGTTCTCCCAAGTGATCCAAATCAGCAATTTGAACATTTTCTATAGGAACTGGACTGTGTTATCTTCCGAACAAAGCAAACTCAATATAGCTTCATTTTTTTATATTTAATATATTTAAGCCTATATATTTAAAATAATTGGCTGGTGTCTCTAATTTACCTAATTAATCACTTTCTTATTATGATTTTAAAATTAACTGAAATAACTAATGTACCAAAAACTACATACTTTTGAATAAGTCGTCCAACTGTTTAATAAATTTCTGGCTAGCTTCTTCTGTATCGCTTTTTTTAGTTGTTGCTGGATTTCCAGTCGTCACTGGCTTTGCTGTTGTCACTGATGTCATGGTTGTTGTGATGCTGCAACAGAATTAATAATGGTGAGATTTTATTTACAAGTTAGGTTTGTAAATCCAACATTTGCATTACTATATAATTATAGTTGGTGAAATATTGCGGGGCGGATCTAGCCTCTGCAAGAAGGGGTGAAGGTTTTCCCTGCCAGGGTGGTGCATGAGGGAGCTGTACTGTCTACTCTGATGGCCGAATCTGCCTGTTCACCGTTCTGTTAGGGTTTACATTTTATCTTTTGCTTTTAAAGTTTATATCAGCCTTTTTGTCACATGTGTGTGACTGGACCGTTGCTGTAGCACAGTATAGCAAATTTGTTTGTTAATTAATTAGGGTAATACTATACAGTATATATACTGTATGAAAATATGGCTGTCATTATCAGTCAAGGGATCGGTCATTATTTAACCCATTAATTAAGCTGCAGAGCTTCCCCATTTGACAAGTAAAATTGTCTGGCGTTAGACAAGTAAAAATAAATAAGTAGGGCGCACTGCGGCTCAATGGGTTATGTTGGAGGGGGGAGGAAGAGAAAATAGGGGGTCTGGAAATTAAAATTCAAAATTTCGCATAAAAATACCCTTTTGTCTTCATGCCTCCAACTTAAATAATTACCGGTCCCTTGAACAACCTTGACTGAGTATTTTCTTGTGAGCTCACAAATAAATTAAATCATTTCAAGAAATTGGCATGTGCTATTACAGGAGAAGTTCCTGGCAAAGCAGCATTTTTAAGAGTGATGCTTGTTTAGGGTGGGGGGGGGGGGGTGTATGTACCCACGCAGTAGATCCATGGCATTTGCCCCTGTTACAAGGGAATATGTTATTTGTACAAAATCCCCACTATATTCTCGACAAGATTAGTAATACTAAATTTTTCAATCATTCAATTCTTACTTGGCTTTTGACTGTTCTTCCAGTTTATGTTTAATTGCTTTCTCAGCTATAGCAATCCCTTCCTTGCAGAAAAATTTCATTGGGGTAAAAGGAATAACTTTACAAATCTAAGACAAATACAAGAAAACATCATGGAAACACATAGAGTAATGATTTGTTGCAGTACTGTTTAGAAATATAATTGTTTCATAATCTGAATGTGACTGTCTAGTTGAAGTAGGGTTAATAGAATAGAAACTTTATTTCACGAGGGAAAACGTATTAACCGTAAAAGTTATTTAACATACGGCCCTCGCACTATTTTGATATTTACAATTTGTCATGCAGGCATAAAAAGTATTAAAGATTACGACTATTTACATTTGAGAAAAAAATAATTAGTAATGAATACAATTACAATTTAGTAAATATTTACAATTTATACAAAATAGATCTTCGATATGGTTAGTAAGGTTAAGCTTGTTAAGAAAGATTTTACGAATTTTTTGTTTGGCGTTAGTATATGAAGAGCAAGATGGCGAAGCAGCAAGTTGCTTACAATCGCTATCTAAGCAATTAAAAAGAATGGAAGCACTGTACAGAAATGTTCGTTTACCAGAGTCAGTACGCGGGAAGGGGGGTTGAAGGTCATATGCGCAAGCTCTAGTCAGAGCCCGTTGTCGAATAGAAGATAAGAATTTAAACATTTGCTTAAATGAAGATGGAGCACTGGGATTTGTGAGAATGTTAATTAGTAAGAGAAGCTTCCTAAATTTAACAAGATCAAAGATTGGGATTATTCGAATCTGGGAAAAAAGAAGAACAGAAGGAGTAGAAAAGTCAGCGTCTAGAATAATACGTGCTGCACGCTTTTACAGTCGAAGAATGCGAAGTAAAAGTGTTTTTGAGCAGTTTCCCCAAGTTACAGAGCAGTAGATAAGACTTGAGTTAATACTCCTAGGAGTTATAGAAACGAAGAGCACAGTGCTTAGTTAAAAAGGGTTTAATCCTGCGTAATAAAGCACACAAGTTGTCATATGCTTGGTCCAAATTAAAAACTCGTCAAGCGTTGAACCCAACACTTTTCAGATGCAAAGCAGTTTTGCAAAAAGAAGTCTTGAGCATCAAGTTTCGATTAATTGAAAAAGTCACAAAGACAAGAACGGTTACATAGTTCAATGTTGTCATTGAGGTCAGAGATTTAAAGAAAAAAAAACACAAGTATAGCCATACCTTCGATTTTTCATTTTGTTTCTTCTCTTTTTGTTTGTTTTCTTTTTCAAGTTCTTTTTCAATTTGTTTCTCAATTGCATCTATCTTTTCATCACTTATCTAGTTTTTAAACAACCGATTATAAGAACATAGTGCACATAATGTGATTAATATAATACCCAGTTTCTAAATTCTTGAGCTTCTCAGACAGGATTGATTCCGCTTAAGTGGATGTGGTGTGGCACTGCTCATGATATGGGTTTGGCCATTATGGTAATCATGGTTGCATGGAACGATGCTTAGGGACGGACCATTAGAAAAGTGATTGGGGGGGGGGGGAACAAAAATAAAATTCGAGCAGGGAAAATAGAAAGAAAAAAAAATTCGTGCACCAGAAATGTCTGAAAAAAAAATTCGTGCAGAGACTTTTCAATAGGGAAAATTACAGGGCCTATTGGAGGTACAGCAATTTTTTGGCCAGCAATTTTTTGGGAAAAAAAAATTCGAGCAAGGGATTATTAAAAAAAAAATAACCGACACAGCAAAACATTTTGAAAAAAAAATCGTGCACGTTGAAAATGGGCCCCCCCCCCCCCATCACTTTTCTAATGGTCCGCCCCTTATTCTCCATAGTCTAAGGGGCTACAGTAACTCCAAATTCAAAGTCAAAATGTGCTTTAACTTTTAAATGGCACTGACGCAGCCAGTGTTTTTTTTCTCAGCTGAGCAATTTGTATCAAGAAATTTCAAAGGGGCTTTGGGGGCGGGGGTCTTTTGAGGTGGGAACCTCTGACAAAGTCCTGTACATACCTTCGAATTTTGTTTATTCTGTTTCTTTTCTTTTGTCTTTTCTTTCCCTTTTTGTTGCTGCTTTTTTAATTTCAAAGAAAAAATATGATTTTGTGTTTTGTTCAAAATAGTTGTTGGCAAGGTTTAAATCCTGGGCACAAGGTTGGGTTTAACATGAATAGCGAACATAGTGACATACCTGTTGTATTTTAGCTTTTACTTCTCCGATTTTCTTTTCCACGAAATCTGATATAAAATCTCTCTTTTCAATTGTTTGGTTTTCAGCCTTTTCTGTTGTGTTGATGTTAGTAGGCTTATTTGTCGCTTGTTTTGTTGGCTTCTTTTCTATTGGTTGGTTTTTATCCTTTTCTGTTGTGTGGATGTTAGTAGGCTTATTTGTCGCTTTTTTTGTTGGCTCAGCATGTGTCGGCTTTTCTGACTCTGTTTCTTCCTTCTCCTCTCTCTGTTTTTCCTTTTGGAGTTCTTTCTCGTCTCTTTCTATTTCCTTTTGGAGTTCTTTCTCCTCTTTCTCTTTTTCCTCTTTTTGTTCTTTCTCCTCTTTCTCCTTTTCCTCTCTTTGTTCTTTCTCCTCTTTCTCTTTTTCCTCTTTTCGTTCTTTCTCCTCTTTCTCTTTTTCCTCTTTTTGTTCTTTCTCCTCTTTCTCTTTTTCCTCTTTTTGTTCTTTCTCCTCTTTCTCTTTTTCCTCTTTTCGTTCTTTCTCCTCTTTCTCCTTTTCTTCTCTTTGTTCTTTCTCCTCTCTCTGCTTCTCCTTTGTATCTTCTTTTTCCTCTGCAGTGTCTGACTGTGACTCATTGTGTTGTTGTTTCTGCTCTGTTTCCAATATATATTTCTTCCTCAACGCAAGTGTATCCAATAAAATCCCTTTCAAATATTTCTTTTGCATTTTGGCTTGCGCCAAGCTGCAATGAATTGAAATTATAAAAATATACAATTTATGTTTGTGATGTTATGGATACTGCAAATCTGTTAGAGAATAACACTGCCGACATAGGCGTACGCGGCTGATGCTTTCTAGGGGGGCAGTTGAAAGTTTGCCTGAATTTTTATGGAGGATTGTACGGTAATTAAATTACCTGAATTTAACTTTGTGTGATAAATCTGCCCGAATTTTCTTGATTCTCTTCTAGCATTTGCCCGAATTTCCATGGTTTTCCAAAAATTGGGGAGTGTAGTTGCCCCCCCCCTGTCTCGTACGCCTATGACTGCCGAGGGCTACAACGTAATTTGTACTTATATAGTTATATATAAGTTTAAAAGTAGTATATGAGTTTTGTTTTCATCAACTTCGAAAAATATATTGAACAAACCCCTTTTTGTCTTGATGCCACCATTTCTGAAAAGAGAAAACCTATATAAGTGTTTCTGAATCCGTGATAAACTTCAGGTTGGGTGAAGTTGAATTATGTTTTAATTATTTTAAATATATTCAATTCTAACATTTACTCTTGAAAACTTTACAAACCAAATTTATAAATTAATTAAACATTGCTAGTCTAAAGAATAAAGATGCCAGACTATAAAGTAGGAAACGTGGTAACTTGAAGATAATAATAGTCATGATCATGTACTAGCATAATGATAGTAATTATGTTCATAATCATATTAATTTATTGGTATGATCATGAATATTAATAATGATGATGATCACAATAATATGGCAGCGGCATAAATATTTATTATCATAATGATAATCATCGATATTTATGATGATGATCATTAATATTTATCATGATGATTTTTTATGATGATAATAATAATGACGATGACGACAATGACGATTATAAATATCTGGTAATAATATTATTTCTTACTTCAAGATGTCCCAATAACGCAAATAAAACACCATCCTCATCCTTTGGAAGCTCGTCAAACGATCTGGGAGACATTTTAAAGCACAGTGAATATTATTGAAAACTATTTCTATTTTGTAAATTAATTTTAATCTTATAGATAAGATGTTTAAATACTGCATGAGTGCATTTGCATAACAGTAAAATGCATTAGTAAAGTTTTGGGGACACTTACATCAGTGCCGTCGGAAGCAAATGGTTATTGTGAATTCCGTGCATTTCACTTCAAGATCTAGCAATGCACTGCATAACTTTCTACAATTTCATCCTCTTTGTTTTGAATCTACGTTTGCTCTGTATGTATGTATGAAGTTATGAATGAATTGTTCCTACTGATGTACAGTATGAATTGAATTGTTCTTCCTGACACGATCAGGAGTGCTTTATCAGATATAAAACACGAGAGCGCAGCTCGAGTGTTTTATATCTGACAAAGCACGAACTGCGAATGTTTTAAATGGCTTAAAAAACGACCCATCTGATGAGTTCATGGCGAAGTAATTTAAAAACTAAACGTTGCCTAAGCTCAGAAAATCATAGCTATAGTTTATATGCAAATGAACATGATTTTTTTATTACATATATACACGGCAGTGATTTATTTTGTATTTCGTCATGAACTATATTAGTGAGTTTTTTACCGAAATATCAACGATAATATAAGTTGATTGCAAGAAAGAATTATTTATGAAAAGAAATAGAATCCTCATGGGTGTGGAAATTATTGGGCCTCTTCCTTCCCCTCGCTTCCGATGGCCCTGCTTATCATTCGAATCAAAGTATACCTTTTATCTTTAGCCTCGTCTTTTTTCTCTTGTGATTTTTGGAAAGCTTCAGGCACATACTGAAATAATTTGTTGAGAAACGGCCATGAAAAACTTGATACGGTATTACATGTAACACCTTAGTACAACTAGGCTTACGGTAGTTCAGAAATGGATAAAAGAGAATGATAAATATCATTGTTAACCACCTTATTCTTTACCAGTTGAGAAATTTTCGATACTTCATTTTCTAAAGAAAGAGACAAAAGCAATGAGATAAGGCCAATTTAAAAAGTAAATATCATGAGTTCGGGTAAATATCATTATAAATAATTGTTGAAGAGATTTTTAGATGGCAATTCCGAGTGGAATTTTTATAATACATTTATAGACCTACTGTAACCAGGAGCTGTTGCGAAAAATGCAAATTCCACTCGAGCTTTCATCTACAATTCCCTTCAACAATTAAAAAAATAATTCTATTTTTCATCGTCGCCCGCCCCCTAAAAAATTGACGTTATATGCTAGCAGAGTACGGAATGGTCTCGCAAACAGGACAGAGATTGAAGAATTCACTTAAAAATTTCAATGAACTTCAAAAATACTGATGTTTGTGCGGTTACTCTGAGTATGTATCCACACCGGGCAAGCTGAAAAGTTTGCTTGGCCACGGTGGGAATCGAACCCGCGACCTTTGGGATACTAGTCCAATGCTCTACTAGTCCAATGCTCTACTAGTCCAATGCAAAAAAAAAATCAAAAATACTGCAAAAGGAAGTAGAGCGTTCCAAGCTTTGACCATTCTTAGTTTTGAATTTCCAACGTGTAATAGGTCTTGCCTGTGGCTATTTCTTGGACAAACGAAGTGTATCAAATAGAAAACAGCCTTTAATCCGCTTTTTAAGGGCAAAATAGCCTACCTACTTTCTAAAAAATAATAATAGAAACGGCCCACTACATTTTTTCAAAAGAAGCGATGAAAAACAGATGTATTTTTTTAAAGGTCCTTCCAGTAAGTCTTCTAACGCCTGGATCACTTTACTTTCGTCAATACCTTTAGATGCGGCATGCAGGGACTTGTTCACAGGTGGTTCGTATTTTAGAACAGGTTCGTTTAGAATCTGTGAAGGAAAAATATAAGATATGAACGATAGGCGAACATACTGTAGATGCCACTGAGTGACCTAGGGGGGAGGGGGGGTGGGTGGCGGGTGGTCCAACATAAAACATGCCATATGAAAATTTGTCATAGAAAACCTGCTCGTCTACAGTATGATTGAAAACCTGCTGGACTAAGAAAACCTGCTCGTCTATGAAAGAAGCGGAAAATGTTTTCTCACACACTGTTGGGGCCCTATAGAAATTGGGTGTTATCAGGTGGTGCAGGTTAGATGAGCACACTTGTGTTGTTCCTGACCGTAGCTTGACAGGGAAGAGTGTGTTAGGACTGTACATTAGCTTTAGATACATAAATCATGGTTAATATAGATCATATTACTATGGTAGTACACCGTACTTCATACCTTTGTGACCGCTCCTAGAAGTTTTGATTGAAAGTCGTTGACACGATCATGGCTTGCGTTCATTTTCGCTACCAGATAATTGGAGGTTAAATTCACGAGACGCTCAATTATTTCTAAAGGATCGTCGACCGATAGTTTACCAGCAACTTTCAGCGCAACTCGTAAAATAAAATCATCTTCCTTCTTGTCTTTTTCCTGGAAAAAATCGATCGAGACTTTAAGGCGCCGTTTACGCACATCAAAATCTCACAACTTGTGAAGATCATAGATATCTTATATAAACTAGATGGCGCATCTCTTTTGGTAAAATTGAAGCCAAGAATATTCCAGCGGTTACCCCCATTTGAATAGATGGCGGCCATGTTGGAGTTTCCCACTCGCTAATAAACGCTTAAAAAACAACAGTAACTTTGATCATTTGAATAGTTTGAAAATGTATTTGGAATAGGTTTAACTTAATGTTTAAGTTCCCTGTTTAAGAAATAGAAAACATACGAGTCTTCTCATTTCATGAGAATATCCTGAGTCTGCAATCACGGCTTCAATTTTTGAATGGCGGAATAATTAAATTCACTAT